GGGGGGGGGGGGGGGGGGGGGGGAGAGCGTGTGTTGAGGGACCCCAGGAAAGAGTCAAGGGAGGAAAAGACTCTTGGGGGACACAGAGGGGAGACAAATGGGGCCTGGGACACAGCCCATGGTTTGCCCTTGCTTAGTGGACAGGGATCAGGATTAAGGCCTATTTCCCAGTCTGGGAAAGGCCATGTTTTTAAAAGTATTTTTTTATTCTTGAGAGAGAGAGCGCGCAAATGAGGGAGAGGCAGCGAGAGAAAGGAGGAGTCACAGAATCCAAAGCAGGCTCCAGGCTCTGAGCACAGAGCCTGACATGGGGCTCAAACCCACAAACTAAAATCACGACCTGAGCAGAAGTCAGATGCTCAACCGACCGAGCCGCCCAGGCGTCCCCGGGGAAAGGCCATTTTGATATCACGAGTCATCATAGGAGTAGCCTCAGAAGTCATCCAATCCAAGTTCAAGTTCTGACTCTGCCATTTACTGGCTACTTGACCTTGGACAATTCACTTTGTCTTTTTGAAACTGAGTTTCCCGGTCTGGAAAGTGGGGTTCGTAACAGCACCTACACGGCTCCCACAGGACTGTCATCAGGACGCACTGAGATTAGATACGTAAAACCCGTAGCCCCCTGCCCGGTACTTGTAATTGCTGAACACACAGAGGCTGCTATTATTATCATCATCACCGTCGGCATTATTGCTGAGGGTAGAAGAACCTGACCCAGCGTCTGACGCCCAGTGGGTGACAATGTTGAGTTTGAATGAAAGCTTTCGCACTTGCCTCCGGCATCTGTAACTGCCATCTGCAAACGAGCACATTTTACTATATGTCAGTTTCTGCGGGTCAAGGATTGGGGAAGGGCTCCCTCGGGTGACACTGGAGCAGGGCTCTTAGGTGCCTGCTCGGGTGTGGTGGCTGGAAAGGGGCGGCTGTGAGGGGTCGGGGGCTGCTGCCTGGACATTCCTCTTTCTTCATGGAGTCTCAGGGCGTCTCCGTGTGATCTCTCTGCAGGAGCTGCTCTCGGGGCTTCCCCAGAGCAAGGCAGCCTCAGGCAGCTGGACTCCTCAGACATGATAGCCAGGGGCCAGGGCAGCTCGGGGGACACACGTCAAGGCTCCGGGGCTCAGGGCAGCCGCCACGTTGCCTTAGAGGGCTAGTTGTGGAAGTGATAACCGCGCCATCGTGCCACACTGTGGGCGCAGATCCCCCGAGATTCGAGAAGAAACAGATTCCACCTCTCAGCGGGAGGTACATCAAACCCCCCTGTTCAGGAGGTCCAGGGCATGGTGGCAGCGCCGGAAACAGTGCAAGCTCTTGGGGGACATGAGCAGTAGCAAGTGGAACGTCAGAGAGGAACAAGAGAATCGGAAATTTCAGGCTTACTCAGAGAGGCCCAGAGACTTGGAAGGTTCCTTCGGGGTGCCTGAGTCTCCCCTGCAAGCAATCCAAGTTGCCCCCTGATCCTAGCGGCCCTAGAGCAAATAGTCACATCACACCTACTTAACCTCTCCCACGGACGCGGCGCTCACTACCTCTCAGAGGAAGTGTTCTCATCAGCATTTTGCAGGGGGGAGTCTCCACTGCAATGATCCTTCTAGAAGGTGACTTGGCAATTGATACACGTCACTTGTAAGCGCCTCAGAGACACGTGCGCCTTTTGTGCCACCAGAGTTGCTCCAGAGGTTTCCACGGTGAAGAAGAGAAGATGTGGACAATGCGCTAAGCGCAAGAGCGTTCTCGGCAGCGGTCTTTATAATTGCGCAGCAACTAGAAGCCCCTAACGGTCCTGCAACAGCGGATTGGGTCAGCCATTTGTGGGATCTCCTGGGAAATATTGCCACGAAGCCTTTCAACATTCTGTTTTTTTTCTTCTCTTCCTTTTCCTTCTCCCCCTTCCCCTCCTTTCTCAGAGAGATAAAATCTCCTTTTCTACCCACCTGAGCCCCAGCGACTGCCTCAGGGAAGCAATTTAGATTATGTGTGGTGTGCAGAGCTTGGAACTCTGGACTGAGAGGCGAAGGATTGAGGCCGGAGAGCAGTTCGCCCTGGCTCTGTGATATTCTACCTGGTGCCTCCCTACCCTCGTGTTCTAGAATGCTTTTCTGTTCCTGACGAACATCTGGTTTTAACCTCCAAGAAGATATTCCCTATATACTCGGCTTCCTCTTCCAGCGGAGGCTTACAGTTGCCTCGTTTTTTTAAAAATGTTTTATTGTGGACTCTACTTTATGTGCAAAACGGGGCAAAAATAGTTACTTACCTACAGGTAAAATAAAATTAACACACAAACACCTCCCATACAGAACCTTATCAGTACATTCAGAGTCTGAAACCACCACCAACTTGATGATTGTTTAAATCATTCTCCCATCTTTGGGGCATCTGGGTGGCTCAGTGGGTTAAGCGTCTGACTCTGGATTTGGGCTCAGGTCATGACCTTGCAGTTTGTGAGATCGAGCCCCGTGTGGGGGTCTGCACTGACAGCATGGAGCCTCCTTGGGGTTTTCTCTCTCTCCCTTTCTTTCTGCCCCACCCCCCCCTTCACAAATAAATAAATAAACTTAAAAAAATCATTCTCCCACCATATGCACAAAACTTGGTTTCATATATATATACTAAATATATATAGAATGTGTATATGTATTACTTCTAACGTATTTTATTTGATGCACATAAGAAATTGTTATATATTGTGGTATATTATAATGTACAGTATCCATGAGTATATTATAATGTACATTACGTGTACATTACATGTACACGTAAACATTTATCACTGTTTACGTTTTCCTAAGCAGCAACTTATTTTGTTCTGCCTGTCCTTGAACTCTATGGAAATTGAGGAGTCGTTCACATATTCTTCTGCAACTTTTTTCCTTCACCTTCTCGTCCGCTGTCTTCATGCATGTTGCCCCGTGTGGCCGCGGCTCGTGTGTCCAATGCTCTGTCGTGGTCACTGCATGACTGTACCAGGGTTTGTGGGCCCTTTTCCCATTGATGGAGAGATGTGGGTTGTTCCCAGGATGTTGCATTCATTGCCATCTTTCTCACACGCCTCCTGGTGCGTTTGCAAAAAACTTCTCCTAGGGCATCATGTCAGCAGGGTACAACCAGGAACAACGAGGTGGAGAAGGGGGTTCAGAAATGCACTGCAAGGAGTGGATTTTCAAGACTGTGGGGCTGGTTGGGTGAGTCCAAAACCGAGAGGGCAGCTGGCTTGAAAGTCTTGGGCATGAGCCATCGCAGATGGAATTTCTTCTTGGGGGAAGGGTCAGGTCTGTTAAGGCTTTTCGACAGGTTGGATCAGTTCCACCCAGATGATCCAGGATTAGCCTCCTTTGCTTGAAGCCAACTGATTATGCACTTTAATCACCTCTACA